AGAGTTTGGTTTTGTCAGTCAGGTAATGCATCGAAGAGCTTCATGAGATGGAGTTTCTGATATCACGTGGGTATTTACGCTGGACCGTTAACATGTGTCTTCTAAAAACACGAAAAGAATACTGTCATAATTTTCCATTAGCTCTAAAAGCTGTCATTGATGCCTTAACTTGCCTCAGGTAGAATTAGGATTCACGTATATACATGACGTGCTCCTCATCCGTTGTGGTATATATTGTTATATCACGCCAACTTCACCACATAAATCTTTTGTAAAGGCTGGTATTACCTTCTTTTGGCTTTTAATGAGTGGTTTAATATCCCCCGTGTCACAATGAGCCGTTCGTGTCGTTACTGAAATGTCATTGTGTGTAATAGGGAACCGTTAAGAGCACATTATGCCATACGGTTCGGGAAATATTCATATCATATAAAAGCCATATTGAGTGAATATTGATTGATATGTCGTCGTGGTGAAATGTGGTTATTAACGTATATATTATTGTCAGTAATATTTGTTGAACTGAAATCACTCTGTGTACTTACCAGTGCAAGAGATGGTCAACAAAACAACCTCAACATTAAGATGATATTGTATCGTCCCGACTCCTATGTTCCAGGTGACATCGAATCCCAATTATAATTGGTCATTCTCTGTAGGCGACCTGGAAGATGTGTGTACTTCGACGATCTTGAGCATCGGTTTGCCCTATCCTGTATCACTGACACTGTAGGTTCAGGTAACAAGGAGATGTTTAGATGGTACTTGTTGTCTCCCTGCCTGCATGCCGCTCGATTAATTGATTATTGTTTAACACTGCTCTCAGCAATATTCCAGCTATATGGCGGCGGTCTGTAAATACTCGAGTCTTGACCAGACAATCCAGTGATCAACAGCATGAGCATCGTACTACGCAGTTGGGATACGATGACATGTGTCAAACAGGTCAGCGAGCCTGACCACCCGATCTAGTTATTCGCCTCTTATGACAAGCATGGGTTACTGAAGACCAATTCTAACCCGGATCTACACTGGTCTGTAGAATAGAAACGAATCGGAGCTGTAACTGTGTGTGAGTGGGGTGTCCATGGTAACACTGCGGCGTGGTATGCTATATGGTAGCCTTGTATTATTGCTCACACGCACGCACGCCCTCGTATATATACTCATGGAAACGAATAAGGAAATGCTAAATCCCTAACTGTTCCTTTATTCTTTTCCTGCTTTCTTCACAAGGTATATATTGCACTGTGGGTGAAATTCTGGAAATAAATAAAGGTACACTTGTACTTTCATATGCTCCCTTATTCGTTTCCATAAGTATATGTAAAATAAATCTAAATTAAACCCGATTTCACCTTAATACTTCTTCAATGGCGACATAGTGCCTTCCAATGCGACACAGTTGTGTTCTTAATCCGAACTGCCATACACTTTTAGACTATATCTGATATAGAGATGTTTAGCGTGATACTAGACCATTCAGCAGTGGGTGGATTGGCCCTCCATTATAATGTTAGACTTAGTGTTTTCACACCGTCCATTGAGCGCCGGCAGTTTGGGGTTGGTCACCGATATTCCGGATTGGTCAAAATCCAACATGGCGGCCACATCGCGCTTCGAGCCTTTGAATGGGCAAAAGGGGTAATGAATATTCATTTATAACATTTTTATAATTTCAGACTTCGACAACTAAGCAGATCAATTGTTGAACTATATGTGGTTTAATGACAATTGCTCTATTAAGTCCTCAGTTTCCTAAAGTTCACACGTTTTTCAAAGAGTCATCAAATCACGCCACGATTGTCACGAATTTCATCGAAAACATAGGATTATCGTTATTAGGAACGTGTATTAAAGCTTGAGAAATACTCTTTGATATCTTACCAATCAGTGCGCCATATTCAGAGTTACCAGATTTGCTCTCAATTGTTGAAATTGTCCGTCTTGTGAGGCACCCCTCGCCGTTGAGTGTACGGATTGGTCACGTCTCATTTGTTAGTACTCGTAGTGGGTGGGTTGGTCATTTCACGGTATAGGGTTTGGTCATAGCACTTGAATATGTTGTCATTCAATAAAAGTAGATTAATATTTCCTGAATCCCCCAAAATAAGGACCGGTTGTGAAATTCAGTAGGAAGAATAATTGGTGTAAATAGACTTGTTGATGTTGTGTTAATGAAATTTGTACAAGTATTTTCCCAGGAAGTTCTTTGGAGTGATAAATGACAATTAAAACATAGACACAGATGCTATTTTTGAGGACTTTTGAATTGTTTTTAAGTCATTACAAGAGTTGTTTCCGTTGAGATGTGACAGTGAATCTAGTCTTGTCACATTTAAAGTATCCTGAGAAAATATAAAATATAGATCATTGAAAATTGTTCTTCCAATAGTGAGTGTGTCCTTTTTTCTGTTGTAGCAGTGCAACGGTTGTGGGGGCCTTGGGTGAATCTTTCCATGAGGTCAAAAAATATGTCGAAGCTTTTTAGTACATGCGATCGATGATAAACTTACTCGAGATGATCAGGCACTCACTCGGCGTCGCGCATGTCCAGATTTAAAAAAATGGAAAAAATATCTGGCAATTCCAGAGAGAAAAATTTGAATCGAGTGATTTCTGCCCATGGGTGACGCCAGATGAGTGCATGTATGTTTCTCTAGATGTCACGAAGGAGTTATGCGACATGCTTTACAATTAGTTTCCATTAGATTGTCAAGATATTAATTATGCCTATAACATATGCAAAAGTTGTTTTTATGTCAACATTTCACACTTTCATTCACTTAGGCTATATACTTTGAGATATGGTCAAGGCAGCAAACTGATATCTGTGCCTCTGAGCGTGCGAAAAGTTGTGGAAAGTCTCCTTAAAGTAACTGAGATAACTTTTGGTTTATGCAGTATCACAAATGTGTCTTTGAATTCACACTTTACAGTAAAATAGGACAAGTATCTTTAGAAAAGTATTATGACCAACCCGTACACCAACTGTTTAGAAAAAGTGACCAACCCTGCAGTGTATGCCAAACCAACCCGTACATTAATAGCATTGACCGGCGTTAGAAAACGCATTTCTACGGCCAAATGGAGTAGTTTGTCTCAACGATACCGTATTCCGCATGTAGCAGAGGGTTTCCCCTTCCATTATGCGTGGTTACAGTTTCCAACCTTAGCTGGCATTAAAAACAATACCTTATTAAACTCCCAGGGATAAAACGTGTGGCAGTCGCCGAGTGGCCGCCATGTTGGATTTTGACCAATCCGGAATATCGGTGGCCAACCCCAAATTGCCGGAGCTCAATGGACGGTGTGGTTTTGTTGATGTTCAACTCTTCCGTGTAATCTGGCCCATATATCACACGCCAGCCATCTTCAATCAAACCTTCAATAACCTAACATTATTCTAAGTGTTGGTTCTGAACAAGTAGCACAAAAAAACAACCGAAATACTTCCTGCTCTTCTGATGTTTATACTACCACAGTATGCGTACACGTGTTAAGAAAGGGAGGTAGGGTGGGTGAGTGAGATAGGTTTTACATTGCTTTCATCAATATTCCAGCAACATCACGGCGGGGACACCAGAAATGGACTTCACACATTGTACCCATGTGGGGAATCGAACCCGGGTCTTCGGCGTGACGAGCGAACGCTTTAACCCTAGGCTACCCCACTGAACCACGCTCACATGAGTCCGCCCAAAAAACCTGGCAGGCTTTAAGTTCATGTTTCCTTCATTATATCGACCGTTACATTAATATGAGGATATATACTAGGGGTGGGTATTGCATAGAATTTTCATATTCCGATATATTGCGATACGAAAACATGTATTGCGATATGTATTGCAATATATTGCAAGAAGGTTTTTTTAACAAAAAACGACTTATAGTCGAGTTAATGCTTGATTTATAAAGCAAAAACACAACAAAATCACAATGCTTGATTAGGCTTTAATAAAAACTTTTAATCATGACAAAATATAAATGTAAATAATGTTTGGCACAAATGAAACAAGGAAAGGAACAATTTAAAAACGGAAATATTCGAAGATTTCCGAGTGTTACGAAGTTTTCCGATTGCATGTCAAAATACCGGTTTTCGATCAGTGTATCGCAATACGTATCGTTTTCATGTCTGAACCGGTAAATACCGGTAAACCGGTTACCATACTTAATAAACCTTCATACCCCATGCTATAGTCAGATTGTATGGTATAACCCTGATATTTTACCTGTAGTTATTCTTGGGGGAAGAACCTATTATGAGAACACTCTTGATGTATTTTAGTTCCATTAACATGTTCGAAAATACCGAATGAGAAATGTTCTTTATACAGAGTTCCTTTACAGCTATATGCCTGTATCGGGAGACAGACTTGTGAAGCAATTAAAACAGATAGACATGGAAGCTCCGTTTAAATCACACCCCTGATGCAAGTGTGAAGAGTCATCTCTGACCTTTGTGAAGATGTATCACTCCCCATGTTAGCATCACCTCCATGTAATTTAACCACGTCTTATGGACCTGGATCTTGTAGGCTGTCTAGCGGTAACTCAATAATCAAACAACATCGCGTATATGCATGTTGCCAGAAGGATTCCAGATCTTCCTCTTGAGTATTTGTTTCTGGAGAGATAGCCTAGTGTGGTTTCTGTCTGTGTCTGTAGGATGTCTGACTGACTGAGTTTGGTTTTACGCCGCTTTTAGCAATATTCCAGCAACATCACGGCGGGGGACACCAGAAATGGGCTTAACGTAGATGTCTGAAATGCTTATAGAATGAACCTGGATTTTATAGAGGTTGGTGGCAGTGTGGTTGTTTAGAGTTCGTTTGTCACGCGGAGAGTCTGGTTTCGAATCCCTACATGGGTGATGGTGATGGAACATTGCTATACGCGGCACGACCTAGTTGTTGTTTTTTATAATTCTATATAACAGAAAGATATTTTTCAGACTATTCAGATAACTGAACAAAGGACATTCGGTTACAATTCAACAAGCATATGATTTACAAATTATGTGAACAGTTCATGACATGAAGATAAAAACTTATAAAAGGCGCTGATATTACACTCCATTAAAGAAGAGCACTTTGTTATCATATAATAATGTCTAATTTCATTCTGGAAAACATGAAAAGGTGGCACAATGTTTTCTAATCTGCTTCCAAAAATTAGGTTTTTAAAGATAATAATAATAAGCCATGCCTGTGGCTTTGACTCCGAGGTCCATCCATGGTACGACCCTGAACATGTCCAGGGCGTCATGGAAAATGATGCTTTCAAACTTCTCTGGAATAGGCCCATATACAGCCTCAGAAGAATTCCTGCCAACAAACCTGATATTGTCCTTTTTGATAAAGCCAATGAATTTATTTATATCATTGAATTTTCTGTCCCTTATCACAGCAATGTGATTGGCAAGATTCAGGAAAAGCATGATAAATACGCGGACCTCGCCTTTGAAATGTCTCGCTTGCATCCCAAGTACACTGTCGTCAGGCTCCCCATTGTTCTTGGTGCCCTTGGTTTGGTATCTGATCTCTTGGTGCAGATCAGGAGAGTGCCCGGGTTCTCCACCGGGAGCACAGCCCTTCTGACACTCTGGGTAATGCCGAAGGCTGCAGTGTTGGGAAGCCTTCATATTCTCCGGAAGGCTCTTGGTGGGTTCGACTAGGCAGCGTTTCCTGGGAGAAGTCCCATTCGCTGTCTGGGCTGCGTGTAGAAGGGGCGAGGGCCCTGAGCTGATGATGAGCCTTACCAGCCTGACTGTGCCAGGATCACCCGAACCCTCTCTACTGCATTTTTCATCTTTAATCTGTAAAAAATGATAATAATATTGAGAGGGTCATTGTTTTTGTCTGGGAAACCAAGCAATACATGTTTTTTAACATGGTATTGATAAGATCTTTACGATTTCACCAGATATAGTGGCCCACTGATGTAAAGAGCCGCTGTATACACTATTATTCTGTGTTAGTTGCGAGGATCCCCTGATCGTGGTTTCGAATCCCACTTTCGATCCGATTATGACCCTTGGTCCTATCACATTTCCATTATGTCCAACTCGGTAGAAAGGGGCTCAACACACACGTGATTTCGTATGCGAGCCTCTAACATGATCGTTGTCAAAATGTTCGACTAGTAGAATAGTCTTTTATATGTCAAACAATCGTCATGAATGTAAAGTCATTTAAATGTTAAAGGTCACATGCAACGTAAAACACAACTTTGCAGATTCTGATATCTTTCGGTATGGACATACCGAAACAAATCGTCAAAAATGCAAATTCAACTTATAAAGTTGAAAAATAACGCGATGAAAAAAAACGCGCGAAATCGAAGTTCAAACGTTTCACTAATTTTCCCCAGATTTTTCTGGGGAAAACGGGTTTCAACAGCTGGGCTGCGCTCATAGCACGTGCGCAAGTAAATAGGTTCGCGCAAAATCCACCCGGACAAAATCCACCCCAAAATTGCAACCTAGGACAAAATCCACCCCTAATAAAATCCACCCTAAGAAAAAATCAACTAATGACATGTTTAGTCACAGAAATGAATTTTATTCATATCAGTCATTCATAATCGATAACAAAAACAACCAAAATACATATGTAAGCACATTTTCTTAGGGGGCTGACCTCTTTCGGACCTGTAGATGGCTGTACACGCAAGACCGTTGTCTTTTCTCAGACAGTCGATGAGTCTCCACACAGTAGGGTGGGAATGTCCTATCAGTTTCTTAAACGCGTGGTTCAAACCTTCGCACACATTGTTTGTAAGTAGATTATCTCAAACTCATTTAAAATAAACAGGATGATCTCAAACTCATTAAAAAGTATGTAGATGATCTCAAACTCATTTAAAATAAACAGGATGATCTCAAACTTATTAAAAAGTATGTTATATAAAAACATGAGTATAAAGGGCTCCAATCAGGCTTGCAAAAACATCTAGGAACAACAGCCAATTAGGAAAACGTAAATGCTATCAAAACAATGAGAAAAACAACTTGATCAAAGATAAGGACACACTAAAACTTTTAACAACAGCAATTTGAGAAGGGTGGATTTTGTCCATTTTTGTGTTAGGGAGGTGGATTTTGTCCGGGGTGGCAATTTTGGGGTGGATTTTGTCCGGTCACCGAAGCGGGTTGTCGGGTGAATACTCGGTGAAGGCTTTGGTGTGAGCTATTTTTCTAATGTTTTGTTGATATCTCACAGGCGCGAGCTTTTTATATGTTATGACAGTAAATTAACTGTTTATTTAATTTCATTTGTCTATTTCACCACACGTTCTTCTTACCGAGACACTTTCTCAGTTCGATACTTAAAAGCAATGTCATTATTTAGCGTTGACAGAATTTCTAACTGTGATATAGATATGTCGTTGTCACAGACAAAACTCAATGTCTTGTTTTATTGACACCTGTGTGTCTGCCTGCTTGTCTGCTAATGACAATATTCAATACACAGCTGCTATCACTGACCACATGCAATTTGAACTTAACACCAATCAGGCTATACACCATAAACAAAATGCATTGATTTATGGCCCGAGTTCGGTCTCTGTCACATTATGTAATTACACAGACAGGCAGGTGTGATACTTGAACACATGACATGTTATGATGTCTGTTGATTGCAAAAAAATGAGCATGTATTTACAAAACCCAACATCTCTATATATATACAAACACAATTAGCCGTGAAGGCATCTGCAAATGAACCAGCCGTTACACTTGAGTGCACACCCACCCGCTCTGACTGGGTTCGGTATCCCGGCTGCTTCGTTTCTTGGAAAGTAAACCGAAGTACACAATTTTGCACTTTCGATTTGCGATTGTACGCTTATAATTTTGTTTATATATTTTTTCGTAACCAGCAATGTATATTATATGTCATGAATAAGTGATAATTGTGTTTTAATTATGTTTGATGTTTTGGTTGCATGTGACCTTTAAAGAAGTGACCATTGATGTTCAAATCAAGTGCGGAAATTTGAATGCCACATCGTGTTACTGCATTGTGCTATTCTCTTTGTTCTAATCTTCACGCGTCCACGCCTTCTGGGACAGACTACGAATGTTCTATTTTGGACAGCACGTGTTCATTTGCTGCGCGTCTGTGATCTGTTGTGGAACCTGTGCGTTCAAGCACATAAACCAACATCATGTGCTGAATAACAACAGATGTATTTTAAATTGGACCAAATATTTTAGCTTTCGAAAGATATGTATTTGAGAAGAATAGATTATGGAAAGTACATGGGAAGAGTGATATTGTCTGACGAATGATTTGTGAAGCCTACATACTTTGATAATAGCACATATATAGCTTTACTAAATATAACAGAAAACCATTACTTAAATGCATCGTTTTTAACTTGCCTGCACTAGGAGAATGTTACATGTAGAGGAAACACTGATATTCTGCTGGCTAATTTTACCTGGAGCCTTTATCTATGCTATAATCATTATTTATTTGCTTTGTTCTTTCTACAGTGAATCCATAATGATATGCAAGACAATTATGTTACATGCGAGAACACGAGTTGCATTAATAGAACATTGGTGTCCTATTTTTATACATAGCATGCAAAGCTGACCATGCTGACCACATCCGGTCTGCGACAGAACTAGCGTGATGTCGCAATTATATATTTGGCTCACACTTTCGTCTCATGCTGTTGATCGCTGGATTGTCTGGTCCAGACTCGAGTATTTACAGACCGCCGCCATGTATGTGGAATATTGCTGAGTGCGGCGTAAAACTAAACTCACTCACTCAAACTTCCGTGAAAATAGGAATCCATCTGGTTTTGGTTATATTTAGTCGTCGCCCTACTTCAGCAATATACCATCTATATGGCGGCGGTATGTATATAATCGAGTCTGGACCAGACAATCCACTGATCAACAGCACGAGCATCGATCTACGCAGTTGGAATACGATAACATGTGTCAAAACCAAGCCAGCGAGCCTGCCCACCTGATCCCGTTAGTCGCCTCTTACGATAAACATGGGTTACTGAAGACCAGTTCTAACCAAGGTCTGTGGTCTTACGACTGTACAAAAGGATAATTTAATATAGTGCTATGACAATGGCGATAGATACCTGGATGTTGGTGTGGTTACTCTTTAGCAAGGTATAAATTCTAGTATTTTGGAGGCACCATATCCCCAGCACACAAAGTTAGCGATCTAACCCTCTCGGCAACCGAGGCTCGTACTAACTAACTTGTGTGGGTTAGACCACTGACTTAGTGTTCTCGCGATTTGGTGTCTAACTCGGAGAGTATGGGTTCGAATCCCGGATGGAACTCAATCCAAGAAAGTATTAGAATTTGCACTCAACTTCTAAAACAAGCATTGTCTCATCTGAACACTTTGTAAGGGGCATTGTGTATTCATCTAGCTTCAATTGACAGTTTTTGGCAAAGCTTTTAAATTATGAAACAAAACTGAATGTCATGTACATTCATATTTTCTAGCCAACGTTTATAAAGTGGTATGTACGAATTTGAAAACTATAGGACTACGACCAAATACATGCTTGGTGTTGTAGGGCGTTGCAGGTGAGGTGAGGTGAAATTGGGTTTAACGTCGTGCTTGAGAATATTTCGCTCATATGACGACGTGCATGCGTGTGTATGTGTATGTGCGGCTGCTTGTACTAGCCCAGACTGAAGCTGGTTTTATAGTGCTAGCCCACTGAGATACCATGCCGCAGTGAAGCATGAATACCCCACTCAGACACATTATACTGACTCCGAGCCGACCAGTCCTTGTTGTACCCATTAATGCCGAGCGCCAGGCAGGGAACAACAAGTACCATATTTTAACGTCTTTTGGTATGACGCGGTCGGGGATCGAACCCGCGACCTTCCGCTCTCCGGGCGGACGCCCTAACCACTACACCACGGAGGCGGTCGTAGGGCGTTGCAGAGATATGTATGCCATGTAGTCCCTGAAGCATGCGTTTGTCCTAGCAGTTTAACAGATCATCGGAATATACCCAAGAGAAACATCAACGAAACACAACAGCAAATGAAAGGCTTGAAGCCCATGTCAAGTAGTTGACATAAATAGTAACATTTCAAGTACTGACGTCCTGCTTGACACTGCTTCACTGCAGTTCGTAAATATTTATGAAGAACTCTGATCATGACTCACATGTGACTTCAATAGCAACATGATTATGACAAAGGAGGGTAATAAATGTTTCAAGGTTCAGACTTCGTCTGAACAAATTCATATCCATGAATGTATGGTTTCTTACCTCTTAAAAGGACATCTGGTAAATTGTGGAATTAAAATATTTTCTCAACTTGCGCGAAGATGTATTCCTATGTCAGAAGAAATGTAGAATAATTTGTCTGAGTCGTTGTTATTCTGAATCTTCGTGTGGAATATCTCCTGAAAGTCTGACATTGTCTGAATGGAAAGGTTCTTAATATGGTGGGTCAAGACCATCAGTGTTCAATATACATTTTTTACATCCATGGGTTCTGACTAATGTTCAGAAGCAGAAGTGTGTGTCTAAAGTATCCTACAGCATCACATCGCAGGGGTGGAAATAACCCATTGCCCGACGTCCGAGTCCAGTGTTTTTTTCTGTCGGGCAAGCAAATTTGTATATCACACTGTACCGGTGTCCAGTTGACTTTCCAATGTTAATTATGTTGTTTATTTAAAAACTCAGCAGGAAAACGGTCGGTATAGTGGAAAGATTATCAGGGCAAGTGACATTACTTGTGCCACTGTACCGGAATACACTATCAATTTTAAAGTTATTTCCACCCCTGCATCGGGGTTTAGACTTCTCATGACGAATTGTTCAGAGAGATACCGCGAGGTAGCGAGAACCCAATCTCGAGCTGCAAAGTCATTTTTGTATATTTCCAATGTTGGAACATGCTGAAAGAGCAATGCCTGGCAATAGCAATAGCTTGATACAAGTCTTAAAACAGAATCACCTGATACTCCAGTAGGTCAGCAATTGCCGGTAGCTCTCGAAACTCTCGGACTGGAGAGGCCTATGAACATTGATTTTTCATGGAAGCTCAACCGAACATGACACAACCTCATCTTTCATAGATCATTTTAGTTTAATCATGTCAGTTAAATACAATTATCAATTGTATGGAAGGACCAATCTATCCTCAATTAGCCGGTGAATTGTGTGTCCATTCTGTTATAATTAATCCCTGCGTGGGCCCTACAGCATCGTACCGGAAGTCGTGTAACTAACAGATCTCTTCCGGATCAGTCATCCGATTCCGACAATACCATAACCGTGTGTTCATGAATCACTATTAAATAGCGACGACACCAGGTGTTCACGGAAAGGTGAGCGTCACGTAACATCATCTCTATTATCACTTACCAATGAGGGGCTGTGGGGTAGCCTAGTGGTTAAAGCGTTCGCTCGTCACGCCGAAGACCCGGGTTCGATTCCCCACATGGGTACAATGTGTGGAGCCCCACCGTGATGTTTCTGGACTATTGCTAAACTACATTCACTCACTCACTCACCAATGAGCTCACGAGTTCGGCTTATAACTGTATTCGAAATTGGTGTCTACACTCAATAAAGTAAACAAATCACAAATCTATTAACCATGTCTGTATTTTTTCTGTGTTTGCCAACTCTGAAGTTTCATTTCGAATTACAATTTATGCCCTGAATTGTCGATCTACATCAGAGATTAATTCAAAGATTATTAACATGTGGTCTAATTTGTTTTAAATTCATAAAAAGTTACACAATTTGTGAAAAAAACTTTTAAGTTTTAAAATCTTTATTGGTATTTTTCGCCCGCCCGCTCCATCTCTGGTTGAGGTTTGATATGAGAAACACATACAGAAATACAGATGGCTTTGTATCTGTGTTGTCAGCTGTACCATGAAGGTACACAGATGGGGTAGACGGGAGAAGTCCTTGAAACCACTGTTGCTTGTAACGCTAAAAACTGCCATCAAGGTCAACACACCAAGTTCGTTTCTGGGCGAATTCAACAATGCTCACTGTATTTATCCCATTTAAAGAATGCACACATTCAAGCCAATAGATTTACCTACAAAATGAGACATACAGCACAAAAATCTAAGCAGTACTTTGGGAGTTAGGGTCTTCGGAAGCCAAAATCCCTGCTCAGAATTTGTAGCGTTAACTCACCCATTTTCTTGTTTATTTCACAGTATACACATACGACATTCACCAAGACATGTTGAACTTACATCTCACTGTCATAATGAGTTTACTATGGTTTATTTTCTCGCCTCTGAATTTTAAGGCGAAAAAGCGATGGCCCTAATCAGCCACCATAGTTTACGTACATTTAGTCATCGCAAACAGAATTGTGTCGAGCCCGTTCGCCATTGACGATCTTGACCTTACCTGCCCCGCACTTAAAAGAGCAAGGGAGCTCATTGGCTAAAAATAAAATATGTCCCATCAAATCGCTGACTCTTTTCAGTGCAATGAACAATCAAAGTTCCCTATTCACTCCCCTACATGGGTACAATGAGTCAAGCCCATTTCTGATGTTCCCCGTCGTGATATTGCTGGAATAATGTTAATGTATTAGAAAAGCGGTGTGAAAACATTTTCACTCACTCACTGACAATGTTGACCGTCATGTGTAACAAATGTCTTGAAGTTTTGCATTGCGAAATTCATGTATAAATTTCCTTCAATGACTCAGGCGACATTTCTCATTGAGACAACAACGTGGGCGGCAGTCATTAGACAAGTGTGATTTGGTCCGATATTGGGACATCATCTGCACAGGGAAATGCCGAAGGTGAACATCAGACGATGGTCGAGATTGATAATGGATAAATACCACGGCACAATTCCTAGTTTGTCCAATGCCCACACATGCATTTTACCACTGTCCAAACTATGTCATAGTTGACACTGTTTAGTGTCTACAGAAAGACGTCTTACTGAATAGAAAATAGGTGCACACATCTGACGTCCATTATGTGTCAATTGTTTTCCAATGGTAGCCAAAATATATCTAGAAATCATTCCGGCTATCATTAGGGATACAGCTGTCAAGTTGGTGGTCGGGTCTATATGTCAATCACGGTGTTGAGATCGATATCGAGTTAAGCAAAGAGACCGCAAGCGCTTTTTTTTCTTTGTTAATGTACTCAGAGTTAAGTGGAAGGGCAGGACTGAAGTTTGTTTGTTTGGATTTTTTGCTTTGTAATGTTTATTGTTATTGTTCGTTTGGGGGTTTGGGGCTGTTTTTTTTAAAAAAATATTTTACTTTTCTATCTGTCAAATTTGATCCTGGACCAGATAGACCAGTGACCAGATAGGCCAATTCAGCGACAGCGAGCCCGACCACCAGATCCCGTGGGTTGCTGAAGACCAGTTGTAACCCGGATCTTCACAGGCAGCATGAGGTGAGGTGAGGTGAAATTGGGTTTAACGTCGTGCTTGAGAATATTTCTCTCATATGACGACGGGCATGCGTGTGTATGTGTATGTGCGGCTGCTTGTACTAGCCCAGACTTAATCTGGTTTTATAGTGCTAGCCCACTGAGATACCATGCCGCAGTGAAGCATGAATACCCCACTCAGACACATTATACTGACTCTGAGCCGACCAGTCCTTGTTGTACCCATTACCGAGCGCCAGGCAGGGACCAACAAGTACCATATTTTAACGTCTTTTGGTATGACGCGGTCGGGGATCGAACCCGCGACCTTCCGCTCTCCGGGCGGACGCTCTAACCACTACACCACGGAGGCGGTCACGGGCAGCATGAAGAGACTGGGTTGCTTTAATAGTGGGTGAGTGAGGGAAATACATAAAGTAGATATCTACAATTGATGATTGTTAAAACGAAACAAGCAAGAAGTGGTTATAGAATGGCGATGTATTTCAAACAGATATGATACGGTTTTTTGTTCGTAGTCTACTAGACTGTTTTAAACCTAGTAAGATTTTGATAATGTAAATTAACATTCCTTTTTCGAATTTATAGTATTACTTTCGTTTGGGCTTTAGTTTATTTACTACACATTTGTGTCACGTGCTGCAAACAAGATGATGCTGGCAGATGAAATGTGGCACACGTGGACCACGTAATGCTTCGTATTTAAATTAATCGTGGATAAAGGTTTCTTATTCTCTTTGGAAATTCTACATATGTGTCCCACTTCCCAAGGTCTCCCAAACCAACGCTTCTTGACGTCGGGTAATCAGCGTGGGTTGAAAACAACCTTCCACAGATGTGAATATTTAACTAGAATTTAATCCCCAGCCGCTAATTAAAACTTATCAGTTTGAGTTCCAGCTAGCTCATTTCTCAAAGCGATATGAATCTCCCAGACCAATTTGTTTCAAAGAGATATGCCCTCTTGCATAGGTCAAACAATATCTTGCAATACTACTATGTTCCGTTATAACGGTCATCGTA